ACGAGGTGAGGAGGAGGAGGAACGAGGTGAGGAGGAGGAGGAGGAGGAGGAGGACCAGTGCAAACCCAAGAGCCATCAACGATGTCGGCATACACCCTCCCTCCAAGCTCCCTCTTCATAGGCCCCTACAGCGGTTCACTTCCGTTGAGGGATCTGCCTCGTTGGACAACAACCGTTTGAAGACCCGGACGCATGCCAAAACATTGTTCCCGGGAGTCGAACACCACGGATCAACCTGACTGTTGCGTCTTGACGAAGAACGCCATTATTGGGATCCACGCCAGATGCCAGAACACCGCGAATCAACGTAACTGTTGCACCCGCAAAATCCTGAATCCTTCCAAAACACAATTTCTGGTACGTTGATCATGGAAACCCGTGCTACTCTTGCAAATTGTATGAACGAATGCGCGCGGCGCTAAGGCGAGAGCCACATTTTGAAAAGGAACTGCCCTCAATCCGTAAAACTCTTGCAAACTTTTGAAACGAATGCACGCGGCGCTAAAACGAGAGCCACATGTTGAAAACGGGTGATCCTCAATCCGTGAAGCTCTTGCAATTCTCTTTTATCTAAAATTGTGCGCGGTATGTACGCGGCGCTGAGGCGAGAGCCACATTTTGAAAACCACCCGCCCTCCATCTGAGAAACTGTTGCCAGTTTTTAATCTTCAGAATCCTAAATGGTATGGACGTATCATGCAAAACGCCTGGCCCGCCCTAAAAACTGGCCACGGGGTGCGACAGGGAGAAGTTCTTTTATAAGGACAAGGAATAGAGGAGGAGGAGGAGGAGGAGGACGAGGAGGAGGAGTGAAGGAGGGGTGAAGAAGGGAGAGAGTCAACGAGGGAGAGAGAGAGAGAGAGGAAAAAGAGAGAGAGAGAGAGCGAGAGAACAAAAAAAGAGAGAGAAAGAGAGAGGGGGGAGAGAGAGAGAGAGAAACACAGAGAGAAAGAGACAGAGACAGAGGTAGAGACAGAGGCAGAGGCAGAGGCAGAGGCAGAGACAGAGACTGAGACAGAGGCGGAGGCAGAGGCAGAGGCAGAAACAGAAACTGAGAGAGAGTCAGAGAAATTGACGGACGGACGGACGGACGGACAGACGGACAGACAGACAGACAGAGAGGGAGCGAGAGAGCGCGCGCACGAGCTCGGACGAGGGCATCCAAGGCGTCAGGGGCGCACGCCCCCTGCATGCCCAGCTCGCAGACGCCCCAGCGGCGGCGTGACTGAGCTGCCGGGGGGCACCGCCCCAGAGCCCAGAACGAGCCCCGACGACAGAGGAGTGGCCAGGATGGCTTACAGCATGAGCTCGACCACAAGGAACCTCCCACAAGAAACCCAGCCCTGAGACCCCATGACGCCCATAGGTGTTTCCCAACCATCCTGTGGTGTTCGGTCCTCGTTTCGAAGAGACGGCGCCCCCCGCGTTCCTTCCGCCTTCCTCATCCTCCTCCTCCTCCTCCTCCTCCTCCTCCTCCTCCTCCTCCTCCTCCTCCTCCTCCTCCTCCTCCCCTGCAGGAGGGTCCGCATGGCACCGCCGCCCCAGTTCGGCACACCCCTCACACGGTTCCAGGCCTCATAGGGAGCTCCACCGAAGGCCCTAGTGGCAGGGTCCGCATGGCACCGCCGCCCCAGATCGGCACACCCCTCACACGTTTCGTGGCCCCAGAGGGAGCTCCACCGAAGGCCCTAGTGGCAGGGTCCGCATGTCACCGCCGCCCCAGATCGGCACACCCCTCACACGTTTCGTGGCCCCAGAGGGAGCTCCACCGAAGGCCCCAGTGGCAGGGTCCGCATGGCACCGCCGCCCCAGATCGGCACACCCCTCACACGCTTCGTGGCCCCCCATAGGGAGCTCCACCGAAGGCCCCAGCGGGAGGGTCCGCATGGCAACGCCGCCCCACTTCGGCACACCCCTCACACGCTTCGTGGCCCCATAAAGAGCTCCACCGAAGGCCCCAGCCCCAGGGTCCGCATGGCACCGCCGCCCCGTGTCGGCACACCCTTCACACGTTTCGTGGCCCCATAAGGAGCTCCGCCGAAGGCCCCAGCGGGAGGGTCCGCATGGCACCGCCGCCCCATTTCGGCGCACCCCTCACACGGTTCGTGGCCCTGTAGGGAGCTCCACCGAAGGCCCCAGCGGGAGGGTCCGCATGGCACCGCCGCCCAATTTCGGCACACCCCTCACACGTTTCGTGGCCCCATTGGGAGCTCCACCGAAGGCCCTCGTGACAGGGTCCGCATGGCACCGCCGCCCCGTGTCGGCACACCTCTCGCACGGCTCGTGGCCCCGTGAGAGCTCCACCGAAGGCCCCAGTGGCAAGTTCAGCAAGGCACCGCCGCCCCATTTCGGCACACCCCTCACACGATTCGTGGCCCCATAGGGAGCTCCACCGAAGGCCCCAGTGGCAGGGTCCGCATAGCACCGCCGCCCCATTTCGGCACACCCCTCACACGGTTCGTGGCCCCATAAGGAGCTCCACCGAATCTGGTACCCGCAACGCGGTATGCACAACTTTCTATGGTTGGGTCCTTCGCCAGGATAATTCTCTTTTGTGGGGGCGTCATGCTTTCCATCGCAAAAACATGGAAGCCCAAGAAGCCCAGGGCACCCTGGATCCAAGGAATCCGCGCAAACCTTCGAGTTCTGATGCTTATGTCATTCTTCGTTCCCCTACCTCAGGCGCGAGCAGCAGATGGAAATGCGAACTGCGTGCACAAAACGCGTACACTGTCAATGCAACGATGAGCGGTGTGAAGGAGGAGCTGAGCTCCGCCTCGGCAACACACAAGAGCGACCCTGGGCAAGAATGACCTTTGGTGCGCCGCTTCAGGGGGCCGCGGGGAGGCCAAATGCAGGCGCGCCGGCCAGTGCTGGAGGGGACGCCTGTGAGCCCACATCGGGCAGTTCGCAAGTATCCCGGCTTGCTGAGCGCGTGTGCGGACTGCTCTATCGCGCCGCGACGTAACAGTGAGCCCGCACCGAAGGTCACTCCAACGAAGGGTCACTTTTGCGCGCAGGCGCCGCCTGCCGGAAGCCAGGCCGCTGCCAGTGTGCGGCGCCGACCCGCCGCGCCCAGCATGGGCGGGCAGGGTCGCGTCCGCCAAGGCGGGCCGGAGCCACGCCCGCCGCGGCGGGCAGGCGCCAGCCCGCTGCTCCGAGAGCCCGCGGGGGGGGCGAGCTGCGGAGCGGGCGGGGCCGCCCCTGACGGCGTGCGAAAGCAGGCCGCCGAGGCCCACCGAGGGGGCTATGGCTCGGGGAGCGGCGCATGCCTTAGCTCGGGCGGGGGGCCTGGGCAGTGCTGCCGAGAAGCGGCCTAGGCGCTGCGCACGAGCCTAGCAAGCGCTGCCTGGGAGCTGCCAGGGCACTGACGCGCTGCCCAGGAGCTGCCTGGGCGCTGTCCACGAGCGTAGGAAGTGTTCCCCAAGAGCTGCCTGACTGCCCACTCGCCGCTCAGGCTGCGCGGGCTGCGGCTGCGGCGACTACGGCGGCGGCTGCGGCCCAGAGATTGCGGTTGCGTCTCGGGCTAAGGCTCGGGGGCAAGCTCGGCTGCACGCAAGAGTGACCCTAGGCAAGAGTGATCTTTTTAAGCGCAGACTAAGAGGGCGCAAGGTGGCCAAATCTCAGCGCGCAACCAGCCACTATCGCATCGCGCTCAGCGATCGGGGGGCCCCCGATGAGCCCGCACCAAAGGTCACTACGACGAAGGGTCACTCTTAAGTGTAGTCGACAAGCGCCCCGCTCCTCCTCCTCCTCCGCCTCCGCCTCCGCCTCCTCCTCCTCCTCCTCCTCCTCCTCCTCCTCCTCCTCCTTTTCCTTTTCCTTTTCCTCCTCCTCCTCCTCCTCCTCCTCTCCTCCTCCTCTCCTCCTCCTCCTCCTCCTCCTCCTCCTCCTCCTCCTCCTCCGCCTCCGCCTCCGCCTCCTCCTCCGCCTCCGCCTCCCTCCTCCTCCTCCTCCTCCTCCCCCTCCTCCTCCTCCTCCTCCTCCTCCTCCTCCTCCTCCTCCTCCTCCTCCTCCTCCTCCTCCTCCTCCTCCTCCTCCTCCTCCTCCTTCCTCCTCCTCCTCCTCCTCCTCCTCCTCCTCCTCCTCCTCTCCTCCCTCTCCCTCCTCCCTCCTCCTCCTCCTCCTCCTCCTCCCTCCTCCTCTCCTCCTCATCATCATCATCATCATCATCATCATCATCACCATCATCATCTCACCATCATCATCATCATCATCTCATCATCATCATCATCATCATCATCATCATCATCATCCATCATCATCATCATCATCATCATCATCATCATCATCATCATCATCATCATCATCATCAATCATCATCATCATCATCATCATCATCAGCATCATCATCATCATCACATCATCCATGCGTTTCCTTATACATAAATTATCCCTGTCGCGCCCCGAGGCCAGATTTTAAGGCGGAGAAAGCGTTTCTCCTGAGACGTCCTCACCACTGATGACTCTGAAACGTGAGAAATGATCACAGTTTCAATGGAGGGCGGATCGGTTTCAAAATGTGGCTCTCGCCTGAGCGCCGCGCACATGGGTTGTAACACTTTGCAAAGGCTTCACGGATTGAGGGCGGGTCGTTTTAAAAATGCGGTTGTCGCCTTAGCGCAGCGCACACTCGTTTTCAATTAACCTGGCGAAGGACCCAACCAAGTGCAGTTGTGAGTACTGCCGTTGTGGGCATCGTCTTCGGTATCGTCTACGATGGGCCGCGAAATGCTACACTGGGCGGGGGGGGCGCATGCGATCTTTGCCACTGGGACCGGTGGAGCTCCCTATGGGGCCACGAAACGCGTGAAGGGTGTGCCGAAATGGGGCGGCGGTGCCATGCGGACCCTCCCGCTGGGGCCTTCGGTGGAGCTCCCTATGGGGCCACGAAACGTGTGAGGGGCGTGCCGAACTGGGGCGGCAATGCCATGCGGACCCTCCCGCTGGAGCCTTCAATGGAGCTCCCTCTGGCGCCACGAACCGCGTGAAGGATGTGCCGAAATGGGGCGGCGGTGACATGCGGACCCTCCCGCTAGGGCCTTCGGTGGAGCTCCCGATGGGGCCACGAAACGTGTGAGGGATGTGCCGAAATGGAGCGGCGGTGCCACGCGGACCCTCCCGCTGTGGCCTTCGGTGGAGTTCCCTCCCTAAGGGACCACGAAACGTGTGAGAGGTGTGCCGAAATTGGGCGGTGGTGCCATGCGGACCCTTCCACGGATGTCTTTGGGGGAGCCCCCTATGGGGCCACGAAACGTGTGAGGGGTGCGCCGAAATGGGGCGGCGGTGCCACGCGGGCCCTCCCGCCGGGGCCTTCGGTGGAGCTCCCCCTGGGGCCACGAAACGTGTGAGCGGTGTGCCGAAATTGGGTGGTGGTGCCATGCCGACCCTCCCGCTGCGGCCTTCGGTGGAGTTCCCTACGGGGCCACGACGTGTGAGGGGTGTGCCGAAATGGGGCTGCGGTGCCACGCGGACCCTCCCGCTCGGGCCTTCGGTGCGGCCCCCTATCGGGCCACGAAACGCGCGCGGGGCGTGCCGAAATAAGGCTGCGGGGCGGTGCCATGCGGACCCTGCCGCCGGGGCCTTCGGTGGAGCTCCTTTTGGGACCACCAACCGCGTGAACGGTGCGCCGAGCTGGGGCGGCGGTGCCATGCGGAGCCTCCCGCTGAGGCCTTCGGTGGAGCTCCCTACGGGGCCGCGAGGCGCGTGAGGGATGTGCCGAAATTGGGCGACGGTGCCACGCGGACCCTCCCGCTCGGGCCTTCGGTGGGGCCCCCTATGGGGCCGCGAACTGCGCGAGGGGCGCACCGAAATGAGCGGCGGCGCCACGCGGACCCTCCCACTGTTGCCAGAGGAGGAAGGAGGAAGAAACGCGGGGCACCGTCTCTTCAAAACGATGACCCAAGAGCACAGGATGGTTTGGCAAAAATGCAAGAAGTTCACTGATTGAAGGCAAGTGGTTCTCAAAATGTGGCCCTCTCCCTAGCGCCGCGCACATTCGTTCTAAAAAATACAAGAGCTTCAGGCATTGAGGGCAGGTCGCATGTGGTTCTCGCCTGAGCGCCGCGCACATTCGTTTGAAGACAAAACGCGACTCTCGCTTTGGCGTCGCGCACATTCGTTTCTTTTTTTACTTGCAAGAGCTTCACGGATTGAGGGCAGGTGGTTTTCAAAATGTGGTTCTCGCCTTCGCGCCGCCCACATGTGTTGCAAAAATTGGCAAGGGCTTCACGGGTTGACGGCGGTTCCTCGCAAAATGTGGCCCTCGCCTTAGCGCCGCGCACACTCGTTTAAAACATTGGCAAGAATTCCACGGATTCGCAATCAACGTCTCAGAAGCGGTGTTTTGGGAGGCTTCAGGATTACGCGGGTGCATGAATTATACTGGTTCGCCATGGTGGAGTCCCAAAAATGGCGTTCTGGCACCATTCTGGATCGTCAAGACGCAGCAGTCAGGTTGATCCGCGGCGTTGGATCCCCGAGAACTCGGCATGCTTCAGGATCTGCAAACGGTTGTCTTCCAACGAGGCAGTTCTCTCAATGGAAATGAACCGTTGTATGGCACCGGGGGGGGGGGGCATAACGGGGGCCCGCGTTTCTACAATTCTCATATTGCTGAAGATGATGACTGCGATGATTGAGATGCTTCGGGCTCTCGGTGGTGCAGATGATGACGGCAAAGATTAGGTTCGCTATCTCAGGCTCTCGGACACGGGCGCACTCTGGCCTGGCGCGCCGCGCCTGTCAGTCGAGCGAGAATGAAAAACGCATCCACTCTTTATAAGCTGGCCCATCGGGCCCCCGCGGCCGCAGGCGCGACCAAGCTCACGCAATGGCAAACATGCTCGGACCTCTGGCGAGAGGCACGTAGTAGTACTTCTCATCCATCAGAGCGTGGTCCATGCTGAGGTAGCAGCGCGCCTGATACTCGTTCATCGCGTAGCACCACATCACGCGGTCCGCGTAGTTCGGGAGCCTGCCGCCGTACTTGGACTTCAACCACCTCTTCAGGATACCCCACTTGCTCTCGATGGCGTTGATGGTGAATCCCCTGGCGTCAACGATCTCGCCATCATCGTGGTCCACTAGCTCGCGGCGTAGGGTGTTATGTGTGAGTCCCTCCTGGCGGCGAATGGATTTCACGGATGATACGGTCGCGCCCCAGTCGCCCGAGACAAAGATGTCGCCCTTGCTGAAGTTCAAAGTTGCCATCCTCCTCCTCCGCCTCTTCTTCCAGACCCTTTTCCTTCTAAATAACTCACTCCTGTCGCACCCACAGACGTGACCGTAGGCCAGGCCAGGCATTTCGCCGTAGACTTCCTCATCATGTCAAATCCTGAAACTTGGAATTTGCAGCAATTTCAAACTTGCACGCGGGCTATTTTTGTAACGGGGCTCTCGCCTCACCTTTTCGAACATGCGCCTTCCAAGTTGGCCACAGCTTCAAGGATGGAGGCCAATTCCTATTCACAATGTGGTCCTCGTCTTGGCGCAGCGCCTATTCGTTTTGAAAGTTTGCGACAGTAACAGGGGTTTGCAGGGTTGAAGCATTAGAAACGACGTTCTGGCACGATTCAGGACTGTCAGGACCCAACATTCAAGTGGATTCGCGGCATTGTTGTCCAAAGAATGGCGTTCTGGTACACTTCAGGTTTATCAGTACGCAACAGTCACCTTGACTCGGAGCGTTGAAAACTCTCTAAAAAAGGAGCGGCACTTAAAGGGTGCCCGAATCCGATCAAAAACGCCATGCAAAAAAAAAAACTAATGTGTTGGTGCGTTCTCTTGTCCTGGCGTGGCGCCTCCCAATTTTAGAGCCTGGGGAAGTGAAAGCATTCGTTTGTTGACATCGTCAGGCGATTGTCGTTCAACGGGCCACTCCCTGCAATGATAACAACTTGTAGGGGCCTATGCAGAGGGAATGTGGAGAGAGTTTATAGTAGCATCGTTGATGCGTCTTGGGCTTACACTGGTCCTCATCCTGCTCCTCCTCCTCCTCTTCTTCATCATCATCGTCAGCCTCGCCATCCTCATCACCATCATCATCATCATCATCAGCATCATCATCATCATCAGAACCAGAACCCTCATCGTCGTCGTCATCCTCATTGCACCCCTCCGCTCGTCACCTTCCCGCACATGCAGAAACATCATCCGTCCCTCCCTTCCTCCCGCCCTCCCTCCTCGCTCTTGCTCAATCCTGTCATGTGGCTGAACCTTGTGGGAAAAAAATGTTCTCGGTGTCATAGTTCATGCTCTAGGCAGGGCAAAATCGAATCGCTCTGGTCGGAATGTTTCTCCCTACTTAGGGTGACTGATCATGGGGGCTGGGTCCACAAGTCTAACGATATGTGAGTCGTTGGCCCTATGGCTCTGCAAGTCGTGTGGGAGGTGTTGTTCCTGTACCCTGGGGGGGGGGGGACTTGCGGACAAGTGCACGCAACCCGATTCCCCACTGTCGAAGCCGGGGCGAGTATAACCCAACCGTATATGACGGAACCTGTGGCCCAAAGTGCAAGCTGAGCAGGCGGCTCGGTTCGCTGGTGATATTATTGTATAGACTCGCTTCGCGACTGGTCTCTTCTCATCTCCTCCTCCTCCTCCTCCTCTTCCTCCTCCTCTTCCTCATCCTCCTCCTCCTCCTCATCCTTCTCCTCATCCTCCTCCTTCCCGTCCTCGTCCTCCTCCTCCTCCCTTTCCCCCCCCGCCCCTCCTCCTGTGTCGCATCCTCACCTCCTGTGACGGTGTGTGCCCACATGTGATCGAATATTTCCTCCTCCTCCTCCTCCTCACCATCATCAACAAGAACGTCGCCGTCGTCATGATCATCATCACCATCATCATCATCATCATCATCATCATCATCATCATCATCATCATCATCATCATCATAATCATCAGCATCATCATCATCAACATCGTCATCAGCAACCTCCTCATCCTCATCATCAGCACCATCATAATCATAGTCATAGTCGTGATTGCCATCAACATCATCATCAGCATCATCATCAGCAACATCATCAACAACATCATCAGGATCATCATCCTCGTAATCAGTATCGGAATCATTATCATCATCAGCATCATCAAAATCGTTATCAACATCCTGATCATCATCATCAACATCATCTTCAGCCGCATCAGCATCATCATCAAAAACAGTGTCATCATTATCATTGTCATGTTCCTCACCAGCAGCGTCAACATCACAATCATCATCATCATCGTCATGATCAATATCCACACCGTTCGCATCAGCATCATCATCGCCATCATCAGCATCGCCATCATCATCAGCAGCATCATCAGCATCATCATCGTCATCCTATTCATCGTCACTACCGATCACCATCACCGCGTCGTCATCATCAGCAGCAGCAAAAGCAGTAGCAGCGGCATCGTCCTCCTTCTCCGCATCATCATCAGCAGCAGCATCCCCATCGTCACCATCACCATCAACATCATTAGCACCATCACCATCACCATCATCATCCTCACCCTCATCCTCATCATCATCATCATCATCAGCAGCAGCATCAGCATCATCATCATCATCAGCAGCAGCATCATCATCATCAACAGCAGCACCATAGCCACCACCAACATCATGTCTCTGCTCAGTCTCGTCCTCTTCTTCCACCACCACCCTTCTCCCAGCACTGGAAAGGAAAAAGACAGAGAGAACGAGAGGGAGGGAGAGCGGGAAGTGGAGGGAGAGGGATGGAGAGAAAGAGAGAGAGAGAGAGAGTGAGAGAGAGGAAGAGGGAGGGAGGGGGATCCCCGTGGCCAAGAAGTGCAAACCCGCTGCCTGCCAGCCATCGGGGCCACTGCGGCGGGCATCGCTGGCGAGCCCCTCCCTCTTGGAGGGCGTGGGCGACGCCAACGGCTCCTGTCTCGAGCAGAGGCGGTTTTGGCCGGGACTGGCGGCGGCTGCGGAGCGGCGCCGTCGAATCCTCCTCCTTATCCCCGTCCTTCTCACCACCACCATCATCATCATCATCATCATCATCACCACCACCACCACCACCACCACCATCATCATCATCATCATCATCATCATCATCGTCATCATCATCATCATCATCATCATCATCATCAGCATCATCATCATCATCATCATCATCATCATCATCATCATCGCCATCATCATCATCATCAGCATCATCTGCATCATCATCGTCATCATCGTCAGCATCATCATTATGATCATCAGCATCATCATCATCATCATCATCATCATCATCCTCATCATCTGCATCATCTGCATCATCATCGTCATCATCATCAGCATCATCATCGAAAATCATCGGCATCAGCTGCATCATCGTCGTGGTCGTCATCAGCAGCATCATCAGCAGCAGCATGATCATCATCGCCGTCGTTATCAGCATCATCAGCATCATCATCAGCAACATCATCATGATCAGCATCAACAGACATCATGATCAGACTGTTCGCTCCTATATGCTTCCGTGCCGTTGAGCACGTAAATCTCGAAACCTCGATACGCGCCCTCGTCGTCTTCGATCGTGCCCCCTTGGGGGTATATCTTCCATATCTGCCGCATGTATCTGGCGCAGCACCTAAACCAGGGGGAGAGAGAACGGACGGAAGGAAGGGACAAGGGGGAGGGAGGAGGATGGAGCACGAGAGAGATAAGCAGGAGACGAGCCGGGAGCGAAAAACCGGTGGCAGAACCAGACGGGCAGATCGGTCGGGTAGACCCTAACGGGCGGGTCGGAAAGGCGGGCCCAGGCGGCCAGTTGGAGCAGGCGGAATGCTGAAGAGTGAGCCATGCATGAATCGGGGGGATTTCTCGAGCGATAGCGTGATTCCCGAGTAAATCGTGAGAAAGGCCAGAGCGAGAGCGTGATCCTGAGTGTCGAAGGCGCAGCGTCTGCATAAATCGCGAGGAAATACCACGCGGGAGCGCGACTCCTGCACAATGTGTGAGGAAGTCCTGCGCGAGAGTGTGGGATAAACTGTAAAGAAATATCAGGCGGGAGGCGCTGGTATTGCAAACCAGCGGCCAACAACACAATCTGAGGCCCAAGATTTTTCCGTGAACAAAAACTCAGCGCGAGCCCCGGGGGGAGCATTTTATCTGAAAAACACAGTTGGCACGGAGGAGGGATGATCAATGATTGTTGTTATGTAGAAAAGAGAACTCAGCATCACCATCATCAGCATCACCATCATCAACAACAACACCACCATCAACATCTTCGTCATCGTCATTATCGCAAATACAACCAAAATCACCATCGTCATGCCCGGCGGACTCCTCCGCCTGCTCCTCTTTCTCCGACTCCTTACCCTTCGACTGCAATTCCGTCTCCTTCTCATTCTCTGGCAGGTTCCCTACTCCTTCAGCGATTCGAGGGGACCTGGGTCCCAGCAACGGTATTGTGTCCGCTATGACCACCGGTTGGTCGAAGGCCAAGGTTAGTGCTTGAGGATACCCTGAGGTATCTGCAGCAGGAGAACTTTCCAGGTGCGGGGTCAACGTGGCCACTGTTCTCCATTTTCCCTGGCATCGGGTGCTGCCGAAGGATGTCCACGGAGCCCGTACATACCAATCACGGTTCTGACAGTATTGATGGCGGATGTTGACGAGGAAATGCACGCCAGATTCGGCACGCTGTCGGACATGCATATGGAACACGCCGATGATACCTTATTGATATGACATAGTTCCGTTTCGTTACGGATCCTTCCTGACAAGGCAGCGATGTGCAAACATCGGCCAATCGTGTCAAGACAAAAAGCTGACAGAAGACAAGCACAGTAAGTGTAGAAAGTCAACGTTCGTTGCATCACGTCTTCCAATCGCGTGCTGGGCCCATATGTTTCCTCCTCCACATCAGATGACCCCCGCGTGTGAAAACATGTCGCTTTTTTCAAAATTACGACGCTTCCTCCCATCATCACCATCAACAACAACAGCATTAACAAAAAACAACAACAACCACAACAACAACAACAACAACAGCAACAACCACAACAACAATAACAACAATGACATCAACAATAAGCACAACAACAACAACAACAACAACAACATCACCATAACCGTTGGCGTCATCATCATCAAGATCATCAGCATAAAACCCTTCCCCATCATCATCACCACCACCATCCTCATCAGCAGCATCATCATCAGCATCCTCATCATCATCCTCAATCCCCTTCCTCCCCTTCATCATGACCCATGTTCCTCATCCATATCTTATTCATCCTCCTTTTCCTCATCATCATCACCATCATCCCCTTCTGATCCATCCTGCTCCTCTTCACATGATCACTTCTCCACCCTCCCCCTGTTCATCCTCTGTTCCTCATCCTCCACGGTGTTCCTCTTCATCCCTCCTCGTATTCTGAGGTGGCACGGCGCAACGTCGCCTGCCCGTTCGCCCCCCGCCAGGCGCCTGCCGCACCGCAGCGACACGCATGAAAACACGTGCAAGCACGCACGCAAGCATGCCAGGCGCGCGTTC